GAGAAGACGATGATCGAAATTGACTGGAAATGATAATCCGAACACCATGGAACACGGTTTTCCACTTTATATAGATATTAGCGTCATGTCTACGACGCATGCGTACAGTGTCATTGCTTGTGGATGTCTGGACGATTGTAAAGGAGAGACAAGTCGGTGTAGACTACTTTTTGTGAAGTTTTAAATTCTGATTAAGGAATACATAGATCCTTTCAGGGTGTGGCCATAGAGCCTGTTCTATTTAAATTACATTTCTAGTTATATTACACATCAAGATTTATAACAGACCCACTTATGGTCGTACAAACAAAACCTACGAAGTATATAATTCGACGACTGCAGTTTCTACGTCATTTAAATTACTTTTTTTAAAGACTAATCGTAATAGAAGTTTAAGGAAAGACAAGTGAGGACACGAAACAATTAATTAAGACAGAGACCTTACTTAGCGATCCTATATAGCTGTTAAAGCTTTAGCGTTCTTCTTATTAAGCAAGAGTGTGAAGAATTCTGGACTAAATATGAAGTCAAATAACCGGAAGCAACTTCATACACAGAAAACTACATAAAACCGACAGATCAGACATCGCAACGGGGTCCATAATGAAGCAGGGCCGTACACAAATACAAGTCCAATGCACAAACATATTATCTCTTATTCTTATTCTTTTGGTAGGATGAAAGGAACAAGTGCAGGGAACGGGAAGGGAGAAGTCTAAACGAAAATAAAATGAACTCCATCATGCAGACAAATTTGCTAACGATACCAGAGGGTCTCTTTACTCGAATTATACACCTTACGGGTGACGTTCGAGGGGAGTAGGAGCTAAACGTTGGAACCTAGTTTCATGTGCACTAAAGTTGCCGGCAATTACTCCCGTCTGCTTCTTTCTACTCTTTTGATGTTTCAACAGGGCCATCACAATCTCCCGCCTCTTCAGAAATAGCGTGCCTTTTAGAACCTTCTTATACGGTCATATAACCCATACTACTACTGTTTTCGGAAATTCGTTATATAATTCCACTTTCGGTTATAGACACTAAGCTACTTTTAAAGATGGGAAACGTGCCTTTTCAAACAGTAACGACCTAGTTATTCACTTTATTGCCGATCTTACTACTGAATGATCAACTAAAAAGGCACTCTGGAGTGATTTCCCATAACTCTCACCGCCATACGAGACAGTGAGTGATTATCAGGTCCTGGGTCAAACGCTTCTTCATTTACAAGAGGCCACACCAATTACAATTACACTCTGCATAGTCCCCAAATAAATTTAGTGAATTCAGCTTTTTATATGTGTTGTATTAACTGCCACTTTCTTCAAGATTTCTGTCTTCTGGGTTGTTGCGCTGTTTAATCTGGTGGATGTTTACCAACGTTTCAGAGGTCATACTGCCTCCGTCTTCAGGGCGGTGAAGATTTCTGTCTTCTGGGTTGTTGCGCTGTTTAATCTGGTGGATGTTTACCAACGTTTCAGAGGTCATACTGCCTCCGTCATCAGGGCGATGAGTATGAAGATTTCTGTCTTCTGGGTCGTTGCGCTGTGTAGTCTGGTCGATGTTAACCAACGTTTCAGAGGTCATACTGCCTCCGTTATCAGCGATTCATCGCCCTGAAGACAAAAATCCTCATACTCACCGCTGTGGAAACATCAAATCTTACTGTCACTTTCTTCTTTATCCAGATAGTTTGCGTGTGAACACAAATTTTAAACGTCTGATTCTGACCTACTAAATTAAGTGGCCTTTACTTTGAAGATGACTGTCTTCTAGGATGTTCAACTGTGCAGTACGGTAGTAACTGACCGATATGTCACAGGTGTCCGTGTGATGGAGGAAGTAAGCACCTCTGAAACATCGGTAAATTTCTACCAGACTACGTAGTTGAACTTCCTAGCAGACAGTCATCCTCATATCTGCCGCAATCTCACACTGTCTTTACTCTACTTTGTTTTGTTTTGCATTCAGACATCCTGGACACTTCGAAGTGAGGAGATTAATCTTTAGACTTTTTGGCCCGTAAGCGATAAGTGATTTCGTATTTCCTGTGGATTATTTTTTCTAGACATCAACCAAAGAATAAAAAGTAATTGTACGTGCCCACTTCACTGAAACACCATGGGCCACAACGAATACAATATTTGGATTGTACTCACGTAATAAAATTTTTATCCGCTTGGTTATCAACCGAATATTGAGAAATCTTTTCGTCCAAAACATATATTTACAGATAATTCGTAGACCAGACGAGATACTGGTTTTACGTCCATATTAGATATTAAATTGTCATTAATTACGTGTGAAATATTTGTTACTTTATTTCAGTTGTTTATATTTTATTCAGAGTAAACATTCCATGCAATCATGTCTCTGTGCCTCATGTAGTGTTCGCCTCACGAATACTGTGCGACTGTATGGCTGGTTGGTTGGCTAGTGTTGCAGCAAGAACTTCTGTCTGCCACTTTATGGGTCTCTAAGGGAATAGTTCGGGTCGAACAGCTCTCGCAGAAATTCGCTCGTTTAGGGGGCCCATTCACTTCCTAACAGGTGCAAACCGTCAGATAAGATCCGGGGAAATTGGTAGCAGCTGTAGTTTCAAGCTTTACGATTCCGGCAGGAAGATCCGGTCCAGTGGTAAGTTAGTACGAATTCAGAAACTTTACTACATTTTAACAAGTATGTCCGATAATGAAAGGGCGTTGGTTTGTTTCTTCACCAGCGACTTCAGGACGTCAGAGGCTCACCCACACCGTTCTTCAAGCCCGGGCGGTAACCTTATAGGAACATTAAGTTACAAACAGTGCAAAGATCTAGAATGCGTGTGATGGATAATTCCTCGACACCCACAGCAAGAATTTATTGATGTTAATAACTGATTACAGACTTCCAAAATTGTTATAATTATTTGTTCCATCACCGTGTAATAGTACCATACGTAGAAAATCGGGAAGCTGACCTCGTCACAAGCCCAATCACTCCTTAAAAAGTATTCCGTTATCATTATATACGTTAATTCATACAACAGCGACTATTTTTTTAATTTTGTGAAGTTCAGTGTAGTCACTGCATCTATTACATTCGACCATCTATTGATTGTACCTAGCCGCTGACATAACTAACTACAGAAACTCGGTAAATAACCACAAGCAGTAACTCAAGTCCGAACTCAATAAGTTAATTTTCCCATCTTTTGAACTCAAACTCCATGCCTCCATCTGCCTAAACGCCACCGTGTCCTGCAATGCCACAGGAAACTCATATTTAATAATTTCTGTCACTGTGAATTGTATCCATCATTTCTGGAATGCTCATAACTGAGATATTCCGTACTAACAATTATTATCGCACCGCGTTCTCATGATCGCTCAAATCACCGCTCATGGCTGCCAGCCTCGAAATATTATTGGCCGACAACCACGTGGTCGCCAAGTATATCGCCAGTGTTGCTCTGCTTGCGAGCGAATCACCTGCTGCTGGACACACTGGTATGTGGCCTACTCTTATCGCCATAAATTTCTGACTTCACCCGTCAACGTTTGTGGTTCAAATGAAGATCTGGCTAACAATGCTATATTACAAATCCGAGCTGAGGCTTCCTACGTCATCCGCAGGCGGGCCATGGGTCTCATTAAATCGTAATGTTAGTATACTTTAATGTCTTTGGCTACACCGCACCGAAAAAAAAAACTCCGCGTCTAAACCAACGCCTGACATAAGAAGTAATAAGTAATAAACGCAATTTATCCTATACTTATAATCTCGGTCCTAATTTAAGGTTTCATCTCTCTCCCGGCACTAGACTGGTCTCGATGTAAAGGCACTTTCTTAAAATCTGTTGGTGGCGTGGTTTCATCTGCACTTCTTGTTAGGAACTACGTCGTATTTAGGCGATGACAGTGCAATACTACGCACTGATGTAGTTTAGAAAGATATTTCAACATAAATTCTAATCATTTAGAATTACACTCAAACAAAAAGCAATAAGTTATTAAACATATGTCGACAGAATTACTGGTATTATTACATTTATAATCTTACAAAGCATAAAACTTACCTTTCTCAGTAAATAAAAATGTAATCATTTAAGCTTGTATAATTTAAATTAGCTGACAACAGACTATATAATACACATCAATATATATACGTATTACCAAATATCATATATTTATTTAACATAATCGAGATATATTTCCATTCACATTCCTTCTTACTTTAATTAAATACAACTTAAGAACAATTCCACTTATATTTAAGCCACTCGCGTTCTCACTTCACTTGTTCAAATGTGATATTTGACCTAGACGCTTTGTGGTTTTATCAGGCACGTTCTAGAAGAATGCTAAAAAGAAGCGATCTTGATTCCATGCACCAGAGGGAAGGTACAGTTTTGTCCACCACCTTCACCCATGTCCCAAGGTTGCATCGCTTCTTTGGAAATATATAAAACCTAAACTATACAAAAAGTTTTGGTATCGAAACCACTGACTCTTAAACTAATCGAAAAAAGGATATGTATGGCATGCCAAAATTAATATTTTACAGTTAGCTGAGCATATATTGGTTTAAAATTGCGAAATATATATATGATACAGATATATACATGACAACGTTGTTACGTATATGTAACTTTAGAATTTTAATAAGACATGAACGATCATTAATTGTACATCTGCAGTACGCTATCATACAAAGAGTCCTGAATAATTTGCAACACAAATTCCAGCAGCTTGCTGATAATATTTATTCGGAAACGCTAGCTAAATCAGCAAAAAGCCGAGGTTCATAGAACCACTATATGCTCATCTTCGGCCTGCTAGGTGGCGAAACTGAGGCCTTGATAGATGCAAACCATTACTGGGGCGGACTTACCCGCCCGATTCGATTGGTCTATCATGGGCTGCACGATACGGCGCCGAGCGTTGATGAACCTTGGGAACAGAAGAGAAGAAGAAAAGAGGGTTAGGAAGACCCAGAAAACAGTTAGAGAACTAACTTACCGCTCGCACCTGCTCGATTTGATTGGTCTATAAGAGGTTGTACGATCCGCCGCCTCGCGTTGATGAACCTGCGACAAATAAGATGACAAGAAGAAAGACACGTTAAATAGAAAAGAAAATTAACACAACGCTACTGGGAAATGATGCAAAACTATGGATCTCCTCTTGTCTCGCCAAACGGTACAGCTCTTCAAACTGCGTCTCGTTAGCTGAGCAGGCTAAACAGGAAACAAAAACAATGTATTACCGAGTTTCTGAACTTGTCAAAGGTCTCTTAATCCATTAGAAAAACAGACGTTGAAACGACCTGTTTTCGTCCTCCGGTGAAAAGATGGGGGGAGTGGGTACATTGTGTTCAAGCCGGACACAGTTCAGAAACCCAGCAATACTACTACACCATCATCTGAACCCTTCAAAACTGGTTAAAACTAAGATTTTCAGAGAACTTTTGAAATTTTTAACCTGGGTAGCCAAGTATTTTGGTTAACTGTTATTCGAAATTTATATAAAATACAGCAAGACTCTTTTTATTACAAATTTTGTGAATTTTTAGTAACTATTCAAATCTGTTAATACACTTTAGCTGTGCGGTCGAATGAAAATGCAAATGGCCACAACTTACAAACTACATCGTCTCTCAAAAATGTTTGGAAGTATTACGCTTATTAAGATAAATATTGCAATAAGGAATTTAAAATACAATTTTACATTTCTGTGGCTTAGATTATCATATAACCCCTACATATGTTGTACACATTATACCACACTAAGTCCTTGAATTGGACAAAATTGTGAACGGTTGTTAAGAAAGAAATTTACTGCATGTATGATTTGAGGTTTTCACGGCGGCGAGTCTGAAGATGGCTGTCTTCTGGGTTGTTGGGCCGTGTACTTTGGCAGAAGTTTATCGACATTTCAGAGGTCCTCATTGCCCTGACGATGGAGGCAGCAAGGGCCTCTGAAACGCCAGTAAACGTCTACCAGACTACACGGCGCAACAACCCAGAAGACAGCCATCTTAATTTTACTGCATGTTTACAGAAGGGCATACCCAGACTGCAACCAAATTAAGCAGAAGGTTGTTGAAACAGAAGACATTAATACACACACACACATCATATAAAGTTCAACATACGCATATTACCAACATAATTCACAAACCAAGCTGAACTTTCGAATTTCTGTCACAAGGCCGTGTGCCGGACACACGTCTTGAATTACCTGGCAAATTATCTGTTAAAAGTAATTGTATAACCCAAAGACTTTGTAACTCAAATTTAACTGTAACTGAAACCACAAGGGCACAAATAATTCCTCGGAGTTGAGTTAATACAGAGCCCTGCAACTGTTCGAGGACTCCCCCACCCAACATTTATGTTCACCACCCCGTTTACTAGAGCTCTCTATTGGTCCCTATCAGACTTCCCGGTTGAAGTATCTATCCAAAGCGTGCTACATGTTCAGCCCATCCCGTCATTCTTGATTTGATCACGGCATAAACACAGAGAACACAAAGTTCGTAATTTTTCAAACACAACCCACCTATGTTTATGGAAATAATCGCTGTTAACTCTAAAAATCACACGAAACCCATAAATTCACTTGTGGAGAAAAAGATGCAGAAGTATCGATCGATTATCGAAACAAGTAACACGCGAGGTTACCGATGGACTTCAAAGGGTTAAACGTAGTAACGTAGTTAATTATTAACGTTTACGATTAGAAGAGAATACCAAAGAGCCCAGTTACACAAAGTAAATATGACCATTTAAATTAAAGAAGTAACAATTACAGGCGTAATTTCCGTCTTAAGGCAAGAAAAAATCGCCCTGTGATGTCTCTGAATATTTAGTACGTCACCTAATGAGAAAGAGAATGTTTGAAAAAAAACGCAAGTCAGGGTCAACACAGGGCAGCAGCTTAACACAGCACACCTGTGTTCAGTTTGTTCCTCCACGACCATCCAGAACAAAATTTCTCAAACTGTTCACCGAAACTGCAATCAGTGCACTTGTTTCAGAACAGACATTATCAGCGTGCCACGTGCCATACATGTATCTCTAGGCAAAACAAACTTCATGTAAACATTTGTAAGTTCATCTAGATTACTGTGCAGACATATTCGAATCAATAAGCTATGCGTGTTTGTCTTAGCTGTAATCTGCAGTAAACATCGTAAGCTTCGTGCGTCCGGGAATCCGAGTTCAAGAACCGCGCATGACAATCACTTCGCACTGCCGCCAGGATATAATCTAATAACCCAACTACATAAACACCAGGCAGAAAATACTAACAAAACATCCCAAAACAGGGTAACATTCGCCAATTTTCAGTCAACAACCGAACAAGACGACGGGCAACACAAGAAATTACAAATGAAAGTGGTCATTGGATATGAACGTCACATAACGCAAACGGGCTTCAGGCAAAGATCTGAAAGGAAGAGGCGGCCTCACAGTAACTTTGTTTGCGTCACCTGTACGCCGAACCCTCACACCCACGGCTACGAGCGCGACTGTTTATTAGAGCAAACCCGATGTCATATCCTCTCATCTTCACACGCCGACTAACACATTCGGGCACCGGAAATGATTGGGTTTTCAGCCGACTGATCGTTCGATCTGATCCCTCGGTTATTCTAGGTCTTACTCATTCCCCATCTGTAGTTACATCACAATGACATTCCTAATAACACATACAGCATTCCGGATTATGGTACTGTAGAGTGTATGCACCAACGCTCGACAGAGAAAATTATCACGGTTCAAAATTTAATATAAAAATTTTCCCTTAAATGAGAAGATGCAGTCAAGTCGTACATCGGAGCGATTCCACGTCCAAGATTTTAGTGATCATTCACACAATAACATTTATTTCTCACAGATCACGGTTGTATATAAGCCCGTATTATATAGTACTGAAAAGTTTCTATATACATGTGTAGTGAACACAAACCAAAATTTTATTACAAAAAAAGGCTTCTCAGCTAGCACCATACACGTCTTGAAAAAACAGAATATAAATTTTATTACAACTCTGAAAATCCCAATCACTTCTTGTGCATATTGTAAGTCCCACAGGTCGTTTCGATGGGTCTGTGGGGGTATTTGCTATTCAACCGCAATAAACCAAGAGGTTTCTCACGTTCTGAAAAAAAAAATAGAACGAGCAGGAGGGAGTGTATTCAAATCCAACTCAAATGTCTTGCCGAGATCAGTTTTAACATACGCGTGGGATGGCGATAGGGTGTAGAGATGAAGTTGTTTGAATCAATAGATCACGCAGGAAACAATTCCCATAAATGTGTCAAGAGCTTTCGTAGAAAAAGAATGGGGCATTGACATATAGAATAATCACATACAAGCAACAGAGCAGGCAGCATGAAATTCCTCGAATTACAATTAAGATTCTTTTGTGGATTACGCTATCGGTCTTTGTATTAAGAGTACAAGCCTCTTCGTAACAGAATTTGGGTTCAAGAATCTGTTTTCCGATGCGCGTTTGTGTCAATGGGCTCGGCGAGATGTCCCACTCTCTCACGCATTTAACCACTTCAAGCTCTTGGGGAATGAAAAAACGATTTATATTGATAGATATTTGTTTATTTAAATTAAGTTCAATCGTTAACACTAAACAAATACGTGGTTACAGATAACAATTCTGAATTTAAAGAAAACAAGGCAGAATCTCAACGCGGGCTATATAACAATATGGTAATGAAATCTAATGTCACTTCATGTAACTGAAACTGAATGTGCTTAGAATAAAAGCTAATGCATAATTTCATTACAATTACACGCGATTCGTGCAATATGGCCAACACGGATATAATGTTAAATATAAATTTCTTTTTCGTGAGAAGCAGAAATACAATTCTGGGCTATTTTAAGTAACCAGCGACGAAGCTACATGAGAATAATCTCAATATACAAAAGCACCTTTCACTCTGAACTATGAGTCATCTGTGACGTCACAAGTTCGTCGTCACTATTTTACACTATTAATGCTTGATAACAGAGACTAGATCACATGTGTTGACAGCACATACGTCGCAAGGCGTTACATTTTGGCTCACTAACAAACAGTCCGGAACCGTAGTAATACACCACAGGTTACATTAGTTCTTGTGCGACTAGAAAGAACATCGAATTTAACATAAACGCCTTTTAAACATATTCAGACAAGCCCATATATTAAAAGAACATGTAAAACATTTCGTTGTCTTGACATCCCGAATCATAAAACATAACGAATAGAAATCGATACATGCACCTTCTACGTCCCTATACAAAACAACCAACATAAAAATGTATCGAAAATGTTTCTCCGTTAACCCCCTAAAAATCGCATGCAATAACAAACTCAATAACCCACAGGGAAAACTAGTACATCAAAACCCAATATCACATCGATGCTGACCCCCACCACCGCTCTGTCATCGCCCTCACACCACAAGCAAAGGCAATGACGACACAACACAAATTCGCCTCCTTTCATTTTTTATGAATACGTGAAAATTTGTCATGGGCGCCCATAATAACCCCGATGGGAACTGCGAACCACTGGCTGCTGACAGAAAGGAGAGCGGTGAGGGTATTCAAACTGCATCATAAAGCATTGATCCATACATCATTACAACAGTGCGTTCAGTCTGTCGTAGAATGAAAAAAGTTCGACGTTCATGAACGATACCGGAGTTGCATATGAGTGAGAACAATCAGGAAATGTTCAACTCATGTTGTGTTCGCACCCAGGGAATAGAACACATGGCCATTGGCAACTTATGAATCGTTTATAAGCTGAACTGTTATTGTGATATGGTAGTGATGGGAGGGGGAGAAGAAACATTTTCCAACAGTGCAACCCACTGTTTCTTATTTCGATGTCGAATAATTATCTATTGACAGTTTTTTTACATCACATCCACTCCACCTGGCAATTATACCAATTGAAAGAAAATGCGATCAATAAAGGCAATTTTAAAAGTCGTTTTAATCTGTCAAGGGTGCACATGAAGCGCAAGTGAATACAGACGAGGAACGAGGACAGGGAAACGACGCGTACGTCA